CGCCACTGCACTCCAGTCTGGGCGACAGAGTGAGACTCCAACTCAAAAAAAAAAAAAAAAAAAAGGTGTGGGATTACAGGCTGAGCCACCGAGCCAGGCTCATATGGATTTCTGTATTGATGTTTTAGGTCTGAAAAGAATGATGTTGGTTATTTAATGGGTATGGCATTGAATCTGTAGATTGCCTTTGGTAGAATGGACATCTCAACAATGTTGATTCTTCCAGTCTATGAGCACCGAATATTTTTCCTTTTGTTTGTGTCATTTGAGCAATGTTTTCTAGTTTTCATTGTAAAGATCTTTCACTTCTCTGGTTAGGAAGATGCCAAGGTATTTTCTGGGTCAACACAGAAATCAAAACAGGAATTAAAAGATTCCTGGAAACAAATGAAAACAAAGAAACATCTTACCAAAACCTCTGGAATGCCATGAAAACAGTACTAAGAGGGAAATTTATATCTCTTCGGACACACATCAAGAAAATAGAAAGAGAACAAGTTGAAAGCCTAACAAACCACCTAAGGGAGCTGGAAAGGCAAGGCGACCAAAACCCTAACTTGAGCAGAAGAATCTAGATCACCAAAGTAAAAGCTCAAATATGGGACATAGAAGACAAAAATACCATAGAAAAAAATAAATAGAACAAAAAGCTGGTTCTTTGAAAGGATAAACAAAATTGATGGACCCCTAGCCAGAATGATGGAAAAAAAGAGAGAAAAAGCCCAAATAAGCACAATCAGAAATGCAAAAAATCAAGTCACAAATGACCCTGAAGAAATACAAATGATTATCAGAGATTACTGTGCACACCTGTATAGAAACAAACTCGATAACCTGAATGAAATGGAGGACTTTCTAACATCACACAACCTCTCAGGGTTGAAACAAGAAGAAATTGAGATCCTAAATAGACTAATAACAACCCAGGCGGTTGACTCTGTCATAAGAAAACTACCTACCAAAAAAAAGCCCTTGACCAGATGAATTTCCAACAGAATTCTACAAAACATACAGGGAGGGGCCGATACCAATCCTATTGAAAGTATTCCAGATAATCGAGAAAGATGGAACTCTCCCCAAATCATTTTATGAAGCTAACATCACAGTAATACCCAAACTGGGTAAAAATCCAACAAAGAAAGAGAACTACAGGCCAGTATCCCTGAGGAACATAGATGCAAAAATACTTAACAATATTCTAGCAAATCGGGCCGGGCATGGTGGCTTACGCCTATAATCCCAGGACTTTGGGAGGCCAAGGCGAGAGGATTGCCTGAGCCCACGGGTTCGAGACCAGCCTGGGCAACTTGGTGAGACCTCATCTCTACAATAAATCAAAAAATTAGCCGGGTGTGGTGGCACGTGTCTGTAGTTCTAGCTACGTGGAAGGCTGAGGCAGAAGGATGGCCTGAGCCCAGCAGGTCGAGGCTGCAGTGTCTGTGAGTATGCCACTGCACTGCATCCTGGGTGACAGAGTGAGACTCCAACTCAAAAAAAAAGAAAGAAAATATTCTAGCAAAATGGGATCCAACAATATCTCAAAAATCATCCACTATGACCAAGTAGGCTTCATCCCCAGGATGCAGGACTGTTTCAATATCTGCAGGACCATAAATGTAATTAAATATATCAACAGATGTAAAAACAAGAACCACGTGATTATATCATTAGATGCAGGAAAAGCTTTCGATAAAATCCAGCCTCCCTTCTTGATAAAAACCCTCGAACACCTAGGCATAGAGGAAACATGCCTCAAAATAGTAAGAGCCATCTATGATAAACCCACAGCCAACATATTGCTAAGTGGACAGAAACTGGAAGCATTTTCCCGAAAACCGGAGCAAGACAAGGCTGCCCACTGTCACCCCTCCTATTCAACATAGTTTTGGAAGTCCTAGTTAGAGCAATCAGACAAGAGATGGAAATCAGGGGTATCCAAATAGGAAGAGAAGTCAATTTATCCCTCTTTGCTGACGATATGATCCTAACCTTGAAAATCCAAGAGAATCTGTCAAAAACCTCTTTGCATTGATAAAGGACTTTGGCAGAGTCTCAAGGTACAATATAAAAATGGAAAAGAAAGTTGCATACTTACATACCTACAACAAACAGGCAGAGAACTAAATAAAAAGTACAATCCCATTCACAATAGCCACGAAAAAACTATTAACCATTTTAATCACTAGTTTGACACCTAATTTGACCATTAGTTTTTCTAGGGCTGTTTTTATTATTATCTGGATTAATATTGATTGACTTGACCTTTGTTATATGATATGAGTCAAAAAAGACAGTTTTATGCATCTGTAAGTAGGATATCTCATTTCTTTTTTT